TTAATTTACACTGTAAGACGTTTGTAAACTTGCCGTTGCACTAATACCATCTCAGTGGGAGTCAGTGTTCCTAGTGGTGCGGGAGGCACTTTCAGTCCATGGTGGTACCACATGGTGCGCTGACGTACCACAGTTGGTCATTTAAAATAGGAGTATTCTGTGACTTTCTTCGCTCTGAACATTCCTGACCTAGTATATCAGCCTTTTCTATTCTTGAGACTTGTGAGACCTGAAATGTCAGGGTAGATGTGTCCCATGGCCAGTCGCCCCTCCCTCCTTGACAGCATTAAGGACACATGTTTATTTCTTAGGACAAAATCTCTTAGAGGGACTGTGCTTCACATTGCTATGACACATTCCTAACTGTGCCCACATGCTCCTAAATGTCCATGTCCTTTTACATTCCCTAAGGACTCTCTGCTGGGAGGGAGTGACATGCCCTTCTGTCATCTCTGTAGTACACTGAATTACCACTCCAAGGGGACCACCCCACTCTTGAACTGCAAAGAGATCTGTTCGTGACCCTCATGTACATTGCAAAGTTCCAGCAGCCCATTTTGCCACTCTTAGAGGGTGCTGCGTATTGCAGAGTCCAGGGCCTATAATTAGCTTTCCTGAAGGGTAGTTTCAGTTGAGAGCCATGTTTGTTCTTTTATACTGCAAGTATGAGAATCTGTGCATCTGGCACCCAGTAGAACATGCAGGAAAACCCCATTCTGTTATTTGCATCCAGCTTAGACTTGCTAACAGCTTTTGAAATACAGATGCCATTAGCAGCTTAGGGCGTGAGCACTGCTGGATCTGACACACTGGACACAGCTTACTTAGTGTGCCTGGTGGCCTAGTCACATTTGCTGCTTTTAATTAAGCTTAGTGTTCTAGTTGAAATTTTGTTTATAATGACAGCTATGTGAAATGTCAGCAGGTGTGAGTTTAAGGCAGCAGCTTCATTGAAAGAAACAGCAGAGGAAAGGGTAAGAGCGTCTCCCTTAGGTCATTGTGTGATTCTGGGAGTGGCTGGCACCTTCCAGAACCATGCTGGGAGCTGGACCAGGACTGCACATGAGCTTGCAGCACACGCAGAGCTGAGGGGCTTTGAGCTGGAGAAGGGAGCAGGAGGTGGGCTCTGCGTGGAGAGGGGACTGTAGTGTGTAAATGACGGCTGACAGTGTGTCTTTGCTGCTGGCATTTCAAAACCGGGTCCTGGGAAGTGAGTTTGGCCCCTTGAGTGCTGGCTCTTGCCCACCAACAGGAATTTGAGTCAGGAATTTACAATCCATTATGCACCTTGTACTCTAAGACAGACGTGTTCTCAGGCTGAGGGGTGAGTAGCTTGTATACATAGAGTTCTTAAATACTTAAGTGTACTTAAATGCATCAGTTCTCTCAGAACTACATTAGGGCTCAAATGTGTAGGAAAGCTGGACTTTTGTCTGCTTCCTGTAACAGGAACGTTGGATGCTGCAGGCTTAGGTTCTGAGGCAGCAAATGTTTCCTTGTAGGCGTGACTGTGAGGGCGAAGCATTCAAACAAGTCACTCCTGAAAGAGGGCTCCATCACTAAATTCATTTCCATCTACCTACCATGTTCCTTCTGCTGCTCGTGCCTTTCTGCACACACGTGTGTGTGCACATGTGTGCAACCACCCCTTTTCCCTTTGTGATACTGGGCATTGAGCTTCTGCCCTTTACACTGAGCTGCAACACAAGTTCTCTTTCATTTTCTTATTTTAAGACAGTGTTTTATTAAGTTACCCTGGCTGAGTTTATAATCCTCCTGCGTCAGCTTCCCAGAGTGCTAGGATTATAGGTATGTGCCACTGACCTCTTTTACACCAAGTTCATAGTTACCAGTATTGGATGGGCACCAGTGTTCCTTTCATCCCAAGCTGAGGTAACTCTTGCTATAGTTCAGGGAGAGAGATGTAGGAAACATCACAGTTGCAAAGGGTAGAGCAGCAACAGAGGAGAAATGGTCTTGGACTTGGAATAGCTTGGCATGGTTACTGCCAAGCCTGTCTTCTCTGGTTTTCCCCCCTGAGCTGTGTCACTCCCTTCGTGAGCATGGTGTGCTCCCACTTACATCTGCAGGAGAGTCGCTTTTCTAGAGTTTGATTGTTTTAGGACATCAAGTAATAGAATAGAAACAAAAATGGTGATATCCCAGTCAGGAAATAAGAAAGACCAGAAAAATGTTAGCTCAACACTATTGGCAGTGGAAAGTGACTCCAAGTCAGGGGCTTTGGGCCTGAGGCCAACTAGAGCTTCTCGGGCTGTCTGCGTCTGGCTTGGGGTTATCACACCAGCAGCTTTGAAGACAAATGCTGTGCGGCTCGTATGCACAGCTTTGTGCCTGTTGGCAAAAATAGGATTTCACAAAGCAGTCCATGGTGCTCACTCATGCTTATAAACTAGTTTCGCCCTTTCAGATCTACCCGAGTACATTCAGCTCGCAGTCTGCCAGCGATCTCATGGCAGCTGGGCAGCACTGTTCTTGCATATTTTGACATGGTGGTCAGGGAGAGCATCCCAGACCATCATGCTTGCACCTAGTGTCTCTTCTCAGCATGTTGTTTCAGTCCTTTAGTGATTGCTGTGCTGACTGTAGAAAGAGGTAGGCTTTTCTGGGAACATTTCTGGTACTAGTAAGTTCCAGTTTCAACTGGAACACTAATCACACTGCAGGCACAGGATGACAGCTACTTCCGGAGTCAGCAGTCTCCACTTAGCTGTGGCAGGGCCTTGCGTTGCATACATTCTTGTGTACTCTCTTATAACCATGAGCATGACGGCAGCCATCCCATCCTACCCACAGGGCCCTCTGCACCAAAGAGAAGAGGACAGGCGCATTGTGAATACCAAGGTGTCACAATCATGGGGCCTCCCATTGTATCACACTTGCCAAGAGTCCTGCAGTTTCCAGGAATGCTCACCTTTGCAGGTGCCACTAGGATAAGTCCTGTTTCTTTTGTTTACAGTCAATTGTCTGACACTACCTACCCTAACTGCAAGAACTCCTTAATCTCCCTTGAGCCCTCCGCCTCCCTCCATATATACGTCCCTGAACACAGGTGGCACAGGGTGCTGTTGTGCTGTGCCAGGCTCTTGCTGATCCAGCACTTGCCCCACTGAGCAGCTCCCATGCTGGGCATCGATTCTGTACTGTTGTGTGCAACGGTGGGGCCTGTGGAGGGAGTTGGAGAGGGCCCTGGCCCCCACACCGAAGCCATCCTACTTTTCAGGTCATCGCCACATAGATCTCTGTGTGTTCTGCACTCAGATGTTGCCTGCTTGGGGAGCTGTCCCTGAGTACCTGAGACTGCAGCCAAACCAGCCTTCTCTCATGCTCTCTACCACTGACACAGAGTCACTCGTCAGCACAGAACATCATGCTGGCCTGTTGCTGCAGGTTATTGTTTGCTCCCCTCTTCTGGAAAGAGAGCTCCTCAGCAGGACTTCCCACGTGGGCTTGATAGCTCTGGCTGCAGCTAGAACCCTGAAGCTGGCTCTCAGTAGCTCCTCCGTGGCTGTTTTTGGATGCATGGATTATGAGAATCAGCAATATTTTAAGCACTTGTTTAGGTGGCTATAGTAGATACTGGCTGGTTAAAGCAAGTTAAACAGATGCTTAGGTCATCTTAAAGGAGGATCTCACCGAATCATAGAAATTTGGGAACTAGGTAGAGGTTCGTGTCTATGGGCCACAGAAGGACTGGGTATAGGAATATGCAGACCAGCTGGAACACTTCATGTGTGTGCATGGGGGTGGCATTTTGGGGCGTGTGTCTCTTTAGTAGAGGATTTGGCAGGTGCTGAGTATTTGCAAAGAGGCAGAACCAAGCCCAGGAGCCTCAGCGACCTAACCAGCTTTAATTTGAAAAATCTCAAAAATGTGTACAATTAATATGTGTTAATCAAAAAATAAAATCTGGAAAAACATGCAGGAAATCTGGACACCAAAGAGCAGTAACAAGCAGCCAAGAAGCAGCAGAGCCCGCGCTCTGAGCCACCAACCCCAGTGTGCTGCGTTGCAGTTCCCAGGCAGAGATTCTTTGCACATTTTCTTTATACCAAAAAAGCCTGTTCGCGCTGCAGGAATCCGCAGATTCGGTGCCCATAATCTTGGCCTGCACCGAATGACTTTTCCAGCTGCTGTTTAAAAACGTACAAAGCTGGCAGGAGCTTAGGTCGTAATTCCGTGATCCTTCCATATTACTGAGAAGCAGGTATCCCTCCCCTTCGTGTCTCACCTCACCAGGACTGATTCTCTGGGGCTAGCTTTTCTCTAAGTACCAAAGTGTACAGCACAAGCATTGAGCTTTCTGGCGTGCTCCCTCCCCTAGAGTGCACAGGCCTGGGCAGAGCAGAGATGCTGAAGGCGGCACCTGGTGGCTCCTTGGGGCCTGCGTTGATCCCAGCCTCAGCGAGGCCTCGCAGATGGCTTTGCCAGGCGGGGCCAGGTTGCGAGCATGTCTCAGGAGCCTGTGCCAGTCTGATGCCCTGAAGCCTCCACTGGGGTGTTACATGGAAGGAGGCAGCAGAGGTCATCACAGTCCTCGTTAGCACCTTATATGTAATGTCCTAGAACTTCATGGAGGACAGAGCTCTGAAATCTTAGGTCTGCATTGTGCAGGGCCCGCACTGTCCACCTGCTTTGCTAATGAGGACAGCAGGGCTCACAGAGGCTAACAGCTCACAGTAAGTGACAAGTCCAGGCCTGGGCCTCCTGATTTGACTCCCAAACTCTCTAACATCAGTGGACTTACTGGGATGGCTTGTCCACAGACTCAGGGGCTGAAGACTCAGCAGGGATGCAGCTCCATGTTGCTACAGTTTGCTGAGGAGCTGGGAGAGGGGCATCTCTGGCCTGAACACCTCTCTGGAAGGAAGGCCTTCGCTCTTTCCTTCCGGCAAAGCTTGATTGCAAGCCAGCCAGCCTGCAGAACTGCATCCGCTTCCTCCTCGGCAAGGTTATAACCAGCTGTACCCTCTTCCCTGCAGATGCCGCTCCTATGAGGACTGCTGTGGCTCCCGGTGCTGCGTGCGGGCCCTCTCCATACAGAGGCTGTGGTATTTTTGGTAGGTCACATCTCTCACTTGTTTCTGGGTGCCAGCCTTCATTTTCTTAGCCCCCAAACTCAACTCTGTCACTTCCATCTTGATCTATGTGGCCTTTGGGACAGCGTGAGTCAGGAAGACAGTATTTGGGTCAGCTTCATGAGATGCACAGTGTGTGCAGAAAGCTGGGTCCCGTTTCTGCAGGCTGGAAGAGCCCTGCTTTGTGCGAGCCCTGCTTTGCTGAGCCACTTCCTCCACCCACCGCCCAGCCAGTTCTTGAAATGGAGCCGAGGCTGGCTCGAAGGGCTTGTGATGACCTGTGACCAGGTTTCTGCCACCTGGAAATCATTCGCCTTGTGTGGCCCCCTTCATAGCACTCAAAGTAACCTGTGTCCTTGTGCCTTTTTCACTTCCTGGGAAGGAAGTGTAAGGAGGAATCTAAAGTCTATCCAACCGTGCTCTGAGGGAAGGAGGACTTGCAGCCTCCTCCCAGAGAGCAGGACCCTTAGAGGCAGCCCCTTCAAAGCTCCCTGAGAATCTATTTGACACTGTGGGTAAGAAGTATCCTTCAACGGGCCGGGGAGATGGCTCAGTAGAGTAAGCGATTGCCTGGCAAGCACAAGGGCCTGAGTTCAATCCCCAGTTCTGTCAAAAAAAAGAAGAAAGAAAAAAGAAAAAGAAAAAATATCCTTCAGGCCAGGCATGGTGGTGCATGCCTGTAATCCCAGCATTCAGGAGGCTGAGGCAGGAGGGTCACCATGCATTTGGGACCAGCCTGGGCTACAAAGTGAATTCAAGGCTAGCTTGAATGTCATAGTGAAACCCTGTCTCAAAAAGACAAAAGAAGATGGAAGAGGAGGAGGAGAAGAACCCTTCCAGTACTGTGTGAAAGAGATTTCTTTAAAACTAAAGAGGACATCTTACACTAACCCACTTCTCCAGTCTCATAGTGGTGATGTCCTCAGGTCAGTACCACTAGGGGCTAAGACTTCATGCTTTTCTTTATAACTTTAGCATACTGACTTTACTGCTGACTTTTTTGGCGGGGTGTACTGAGGCTTGAACCCAGGACCTTCATACTACGTTTCCAGCCACATTGTCTTTTTGAGACGGGGTCTTGCTAAGTGGGTAAGTTAATTAGACCTGCTGGAACTTCGTGATCCTCTTGCGTCAGCCTCCCAGTGTGCTGGGGTTTCAGGTGTACGCCACACTGTTTTGGCTTCACTGACTTTATAAACCTAGGTGAGCATGTCAGAGCAGCCACTTGCATTTTTTGTGAGGTTGTCTTTCTCTGTTGACAACTGTCTAAGCGTTTGATGAGAGAAAGCTTCAGGGAGTCAGGCCTACCTATCAAATGACCTGGGTTTTCCTCAATAGCGTAGCCTATTACTGTCATCTCCAACACCATCTCCAGCTCCTTGGTGTGGCTTTGCATATTGGGAGCTGGGTGTCCTCTGGTCCCCTGGCTCCTGGGATCTCCCTAGGGACCAGTTCAGGAAGCCCTGCCTGGTCAGCTGCACCGCTGGGCAAGGGAACATCAGAGTCCAGCTTTCCTAGCTCTTATTGCCTGTGCCTGAAACTCTGTAGGAGGAAATAAACTGCTTCACCCTAAGGCTTCCCAGCTAAAAACACTTCCCATATTCCTCAAGGTGGAAAGGACAAGCACCAGGGGTGGAAGAAGACAGCAGAGGTGGCATTTCTGAGCATGCTGACCCTTGCATGCGTGCTCCGTCAGGGCTCTTATGAGGACTTTGGGACAGGAGGCAGCACTGTCCAGGGCATGAAACCCTGACCTTGAAGGGGTTTGGAAATACTTGGGTTTATCTAAGCACCACACGAGTGATGAGGAGGTTGTGGAGATGTTCCTAAAAGTGAAAAAATAAAGGTCAGGCTTGATGTGATTAGGAAAAAAATGAGAATCTAGAGCTGCCAGAGCCTGGTAGCCTCCCTTGGTCGACTTAACCTGGACTGACGGGCAGGTGCTCTTGCGCTTAAGGCCAGGGTCATCCCCCAGAGTGAGGGCATATGGTGACCCGGAAGGTCCTGTGCATAGCCAGTGAGGCCTGGCTTGGCCATGTTTGAGCATCCATTTCCAAAAGAGCCTACAGTGACTTTGAGACTGTATCCACACCCAGGTGCTCCTGGAGGGCAGCCAGAGGGTACCTTGGGAAGTGGGTTAGGGGTGCCCAGCTGGGGCCCAGGGCACTTGGACACAGCTCCACACCTGCCTTTACTGAAGTGTCAGGTGCCTGATATCCCCCAGGTGCTCTGCTGGGGTTTTCCTGTAGGCCCTCAAGGCAACAGGGCTCCTGAAAGACAGATGCCTAAGCAGGTAGCCACAGACTCAACTCCAGTCAGAGCTGTGCACATGGCATAGCAGTTCTGTGCCAGCAGACTTGGGAAGAGCTCAGAGACTTTGAGTTGATCTTTGGAGAGAGTGGACAGCACATGCAGAGATGGGAGCCCAGGATGGTTGGGTGCAAAAGAGAGAGGAAAGGGTGGGGCTGAATGGGAAGCAAAGTCTGCTGTCACAGGACTTGCAAGGGCTTCAGAAGTCTTCTCACATAAAGCAAGGGGTAGTCAGCTGGGTGTAATCACAGAATTCTGGGAGGCTGAGATCGAAGCACAAATCCCAGATCAGCCTGGAATAACTTGGCAATTTAGCAAGACCCTGTTTCAAAATAAAAAAGCTAGGGATGCAGCTTGGTACAAAAAGCCCTGTGCTCAGGCACAAACAAACAAAAAGGCTTGGGCAGGAGTGCTTGAGTCCATGGCAGCTCCAAAATCTTGAGGACTCTAACCAAGAGGTCTGAGTGAAATGGATGGGGTTAAGCTGAGGTGACTGGTAACACCCTTGGTTCCAGCTGTGGGATGTGCAGTCTCTCTGAAGATGAGAAAAGGCCAACCGGCCAGCCTGCTTCTGGGGTCTGCTTTGGGGTGTGGGCTGCAGTTTGTGTGACAGCACCACCCATCAGCAGGATGTGCAGAACTGAGACCTGCTGTGCTTATGCAGGGCAAGTGCAGAACAGAGTCAGGGAAGAAACTGAATGAAGAGACCACGTTACCTCTGATGATGGCTCAAGTACACTGCTTCCTCTATTAACCCCTGGAAGCCTTCCAGACCTGCCAAGTGGCAAGAGAGGGTAAATGAAGACCGGGGCATCTGCAGCTCAGGCCTCTGAGCAGGACTTTCCCACTGGCCATGGCCCCTGCTCCTGGTCCTTAGCATCTCCTCCTCCTGCTGCTCCTCCTGCTCCTCCTGTTCCTCCTGCTCCTCCTCCTGCTCCTCCTCCTCCTCCTGCTCTTCCTCCTCCTACTCTTCCTCCTGCTCCTCCTGCTCCTGTTCCTCCTGCTCCTCCTCCTCCTCCTGCTCCTTCTCCTCTTGTTCCTCCTGCTCCTCCTCCTCCTGCTCCTCCTGCTTCTCCTCCTCCTGCTCCTTCTCCTACTCCTGCTGCTCCTCCTCCTCCTCCTCCTTGTGAGTCCTGTGTAAGTGAAGTTCTCTGACATTTCAGTGCGACTCAGTCAGGTGGCGAAGCGCATGGTTGGTCCTTTTTATCCTAGCCACCTGCCTGTTCCCTGTTAGTCTGAGGTGTGCACGGCAGTCACTTTCATTCATGCAAGAACCTTCCCTCTGGCAGTGTGACTGATGTCTTAATTGTTTTTAAGGAAAACACCTGATATCAACTGTAGTGCAGGAGGTAGGCTTCCTGAGAAAGTACACGTGGGCCTGCATCCGGCCTCTCTGTGCTGTAGGTGTTTCGACTCAGATAATGAGGGCTGGATTTAGTGTTAATGGAAGCTTATCTCTGACTCTACCCAGGGGAAGTGACTGCTAAGAGACAAAGCTGTCTCCTTCGTGAGATCAGCAGGCTGATCCTGAGAGGGCCTCGCCTCGCCAGACAGCTGCAGCCAGGACCTGGTCATGCCCGCCTTTCCTCCAGCCAGAGCCTTTCTGTCCGGCCTCTTCCCTGCGCTTTCCTCCCGTGGCCCCTTCCTGGGTGTTCTTCCCACCCTCGCTTTCTCTGCTGCTCTCCCCTTTGTTTCTTTCTTCTCAGCCTGCAGTGCCTGGCTCAGTTGTCACTGAGCAAGCAGACGCCTTTCGGAACTCCTCGCTATGCAGATGCCCTTTGTAAACTCTGCGCACTGCACTGTACACCTAAAAATAACTGAAATGGTAAATTCTGTGTCAGTCATGTAGAATATGTTTTATTACAGGAAGACACACAAGCCTGTTTTTGCATCATCCTTTGTCTTCTTCTTGGGCATCCACCAGTGTTAGCCATAAATAACTGCATACATTTGTCATTAGTGCCTCCCACCCGCTTAGAAGGTAGGCTCGAGGGGCGGGTGGAGCGCTCTTGCTTTCCACACTGTCTGCTCAGCGTGATGTTGGGAGCCTCACAGGTGTTAACAGTCACTTGGTGATGAAGGCGGGACCCCAGGCCAGCACAGAGGTGCTAACTCCACCCTTTCCTGACTCATCCTCTGTGTCTTGTTTTTTTCTTTGCTCCACATTCCAAGGTCAGCCAGGAAGCCTGTGTCACTTAGTATGGTGTTGGCATTCTCCGGCCTTCACCAGGCACTTCTCAAGAGTGTTCTGTGTGGCCTGGAGCCCTGGCCAGAGCCTTCTGGGCGGCCCTGCAGAGGGCAGGTCGGAGTGCGAGGCTTGGGGACGTCCACTGGGTGACATCACGTTGTATCCTTGCGGTGGTCAAGTTTTTCAGATTCCCCTGTCACTTTTGTGCATCATTCCTGGCCATTCTCAGAGACACTCTGCTCTTTTCTAGAAACAAGTTTTTTAGTGCAAATGAGAAGTGGTGGAAAGTTGTCCCCTTGTTCATTTCACAATCATTTGTTGATACTGATGGTGTGATAGCCTACAAGGATTCTTTCATGAATTGGACGGAGGTCTTATGCTTAAAGAACATGGCTACAAGCTTTCAGTGACCAAAACAGGCTGCTGTGGCACGCCTGCCACAGCGTCACCACCCGAGGTCTGCACCCTCATCACTAGACATTAGAGGCATGATGTGGACAATATTGACTACAGGTATAATTAGAATGTAGAATTTTCTAGATTTGCAGTTTAAAAATTTGGTTTTCAGCTTTTTTTGTGTGTTTTCTGTTATTCCCATAATTTCTTTATAATTATAATGTGCTCCAAGAAGAGTACTTTTGTCCTGTATATATGTTCAGATAACATTGCAGACATCTGCTAGGACCTATAAACGCTCTGACCTTCTGGGCTTGACAGTGAAGAATGGAAAATGAGGAAAAGTGCACAGTGATGCCACGGCTGGAGCAGCTGTGATATTAAGTCAGGATTTGGGCGACGTTTTCTGTGTAGGCTGGAGCGCTGACCTGGGGTCAGAGGCACCATATTAATCAGCCTTCTTTCTGATTTCTGGGACAAAATTCACACGGACAGTTTAAGGGAGGATGCGGGCTGTTTGGCTCATGGTGTCAGAGGAATCAGTCCATGGCCATAGCTGGTTCCTTTGTTGTGGTGTCAGGTGAGATGGAGCACCTTGGTGGAAGGCAGGTAGAGCACAGAAGCTTGCTTCTGGCCACTAGAAACAGCCTAGGGAAGCACTCGAGAGACGCACCTCCAGAGAGCCACCGTGGCCCTCTTCCTTCTGCTGCTTACTGCATCACTTAGCTCTCAGGATGGTGGATTAGCCTACTTGTGAGCAGTCTTCCAGTGGCCTAGCCACCTCCACAGGAACCCAGTTGACAATCAGGTGGCACAGCCTTGCACCAGAAAGGAGCTGCACAAACTCTTTGAAGCCAGGTAGGCATCTGGAGTGATTTGAACTAGAGGCCTCACTTACAGAGCGTCTCAGTGTTGGTGGCCACTCCTGAGCAGAAGTCGTTTCCTGGGTCATCTCCAGAGGCAGGGGAAGGAAGTGCTCCTAGAGCAGGTGGACCAGAGAGATCCCAATGTGGGGTACAAGGGCTGCTGGCTGCGAGCTCTGCTGCCCATGGCCCACTCTGGCCTTGGCTTTCTGGATCCCCAGGAGCCTGGGCCCCGTGGACCCCGGGCCAGGCCCTAGCTGTCTGTACCCCACTGACATCTGCCTCTCCCCAGGTTCCTCCTGATGATGGGTGTGCTTTTCTGCTGTGGAGCCGGCTTCTTCATCCGCAGGCGCCTGTACCCACCGCCACTGCTTGAGGAGCCCGCGTTCAATGTGTCCTACACCCGGCAGCCCCCCAATCCCACACCAGGTCAGCCCCATACCCCTCCCCACAGGCATTTGCTAGGGCAGCGCCGGAATGTGCCCCAGAGAAACTGCAGGCTGTTTGTTCTTTGCAATTCTGAAGACCCACTTCGTTGTCATTTTTGCTGGTAACAAAAAAGGTTAAAGGAAAAAGGTTGGTGTGTTAGTGCTGGCAGTTGCTGGTGCACCTCGTGTGAAGCTTCATGATGTGTGTCCCCGTCTGTGTCTGTGGTCTGCTTTCCTCAGCCGTGTGTTTGCGAATTTCTGTGTGGGAACAGTAATGTCCCCGCCATGCCTGTTGTCTCTGAGCCACATGTAAGATGTACCTGTGAGGGGCGTGTGAGATACCTGTTCCGTGAGTCCTGGTGACTTGTTTGCCTTTACTCACCCAGGTGCTTGCTGCGCATGCGCTGGCATTCTGAGCACTCACGATAAGTGGCTGCAGCCAGCGAGACGTTTCTACAGACTCACATTTGGCCAGTGAGGGGATGGCACCGAAGCAGTCTCTCAGGGTCAAAGGCAATTGACTGTTCCATTTTTAAAAATCTTTATTTATTTATTCATTTGGTACAAGGTCTTGCTACGCATCTCAGACACATAGTGATCTGCCTGCCTCAGCCTCCCCAGTGCTTGGATTACAGGCATGTGCCACCATGCCTGGTTTCTGTGGCTGGCACAGTGTGCCCAGATTCCAGGCGGACACTGCAGGTGCTACCAGAAATTGAACCTGGGTCCTTGTGCTTGCCAGGTAGGCTCTTAGACTGCCAAGCTATCTCCCCAGCCTCAGTTGGCTATTTCTTAATCCCTTCTTTTTTGTGTGTACTGGAACTAAACCCAGTGCCTCTGTACTAAGCTATATCCCTAACCCAACCCCCCCACCTTTTTTTTTTGAGACAGAACCTCACCAAGTTGCCAAGTTGTCCAGACTAAGTTCAAAATGTCAATCCTCCTGCCTCAGCCTCCCAGGCTACTAGAATTATGAGTATGTCTCACTGTGCTCTGAAGTCTCAGTCCACCTATGAAAACATGTGTTAAACATGTGCATCTCCTGTGTGCTATGGTGGTGGCGTTCACTACCTCTCCATACAGATTGCCTGGCGCACTGGAGTCCACATCATGTGTGAGGAGCCTCATGAGAACAAGGGAAGCCCAGGCCCAGAGCAGGTGTGGGAGGACAAGGGCAGTGTTTCCACATGTCCAGGCTGCTGTGCCCCAGCAGCATTCCCGTGGGGCTCTGGGGCAGGGTCCACACCAGAAATGGCGAGCCTGTGGAGCTTCACCACCTGTGGTCTACACTGACTGCACACTGCTGGGGTGCAGTCAGAATCCAGGCATTTTCTGCCTTGTTTGTTACAAAATTTCAGTTACGCAAAAAGATTCACTCCTAGAGATTAAAGTTTTTTAGTTAAAAGTGTGCTAAGAGAGTAGATCTTATGTTAATTGTTCTTATCATACCAAAAAATAGCACATAAGAAGGCAGAGGAAGCTTTCGGGTGGTGGTAGGTGCGTGGCGTACTATGTGGCGATTTCATGGGTGTTTGTCTCACACCCTGCTGACTGTGCATGTTGCGTGAATACAGCTGTTTGCACATCAGGCATAACTTGGGCTGGGAAGAAGGGGAAGAAGTAGGGAGTGTGAATGCAGAAGGAGGAAGCCAAGGGCCTCCTCGCATCTGCTTGAGGACATGCTGTGCTCCAGAGAGGAGGACAGCAAGCGGATCTCTTGGGCACTTGCTCTTTTACAGGTTCTTGCTCAAGGTATTCTGCGAGGTTTTCTTTTTACAAATAATTTGCCTTAGTTTTTTAAACATTACCCCGAAAGATGTGGCTGTAAGCATTTGCCATCAGCACTCACCAGGAGCCAGGCCGTAGGCTCGTTCAGGGTTGGTCCCATGTTGTTTGCATATGTGTGCTGTACTGTTCTGGTTTGGTTTGGCTGGGAGAGGTTTCCTCTGGTGGGTCCTGGAGATCAGCCCAGATGCTCATGCACACCAGGCCCACCAGTGAGCCACACCCTGGCTGTGTGATCTTCCATATTTGACACTGTTCGAGCCCTATGAAAGATACGGTGATGTCAAATATTCAGTTAAAATGGAGACTGAAGCTGTCACTCACTGGATTCCATCTGATCAGAGAGGCTTTAGTGCAGAGAGAGCAGCCAGGGAAGTCTCCCTTGAGACCTGTGGCCTGTGGTCCTCAGATACAGGGCTCCGTGAGCCCGTGGTCCCCATGTTGGCCGAGCCTCAGAGTCTGCAGCTTTCCCACGTGTCTCACCTGGGCCCAGCATGGTGGGCAGTGATGTGTCTGTGTGCACAGAGAAGGCGCTGTCTCTGCACACTGCCCTTCCCACGCCTCTTTCCTGCTTGACCATGATGCACCTGGTGGTTCTCAGCCTCCCTCGTCAATAGCACCAATGCCTCTGCCATCTGAGCCCCCAAGTATTGGCCTTCTCCTGGCCCCTGGTCTCCCCCACATGGCTACTGCAAAGTTCTTAAAAAGCAGTCCCAGTGGCACAGCAGCAACTTTGGAAGATGGGTTAAATTTAAGAATCCAGGTTAGAGCCAGGTTCAGTGACACCTGCCAGAAACCCTAGCACTGAGGAAGGATTAGGCAGAAGGAGCTTAAGTTTGAGTTCTGTCTGGGCAGCTTAATGAAACTTTCCCTCATCTCATAAAAATAAAAAATAAAAAATTGAAAAAAAAACCACAGAAAAAGCTGAATGTGTAGCTCAGAAAGCCTTGGTTTCAGTACCCAGTAGTAACAAAAATGAAATAAAAAGGAATCTACCTCAAGAGGGATACAATATAAAAAACACTGAGCACTTCTCTCCTGAGAAGCTGTCTCAGGCCACGCCCAGCCTTGAGTCTCTCCCAGTGTAAAGGTGGAGACCAGCTCCCATAGGGCTGGGAGGCAGCGTCAGGGGAGGAAGCCTCAGTCCGCACTGTGCACCCAAAGACCACCAGGGACACAGATGTCAGGGAGCGGTTGCAGAAGCCCCCTGCTGGTTGCCAGACATTGTGCGGGCCCCCACTGTAGGGCGAGCTGCTGTGCACCCCAGGCTCATGTTCTCCCCTGCCACGGTGTCACCTTCCCGGCCATTGTCTGCCAGCCTCCTCTCCTTGCAGGCCTGCAGCAGCATGAAATAGTTCTGAAAACTCACCTGAGCTGCAAGGGAGTGCAGGCAGGCTTCTTTATTCCAGCTGCAGGCTTACATCTGGACAGTTCCACACCATACTGGGGCTCTGTTACCAGGACCTACTCCAAGCTGGGGAGGAATCTACCTGCTTTGATGTAACTTCTTAAAGTGGTGCTATGGAAAATGAGACTCCAGTCCGGTGATTGCGGATGGCTCTGCTGAGTGGGATTCCCCTGCCACAGCTGTTTGCTGAGATCTGTGGCCAATGAGCTGGTAACCATGGGTACAGGACAGAGAGCAGGGCCGTTGGGAGCCTACAGAGGCCTTGGAGGAGCTGCTGGCTGGCCAGGAGTGAGGGAACACCAGCAGCTGCTGGTGAGGCCCAGTGTGTGAGGCTGACAGAGCACAGCCCTGTGGGGCCTGTGTGGGTCACAGGTTGACACCTCAAGTGCCAGGAAAAGAGCTGTCCTTGCCAGACAAAGACCACAACCACCTGCCTGCATGCAGGACAATCGTACACATTGTGCTGGGGCGGGGTTGGTGAGGCTGGTGATTCGGACACCCCGCAGCCAGTGTCCCCACAGAGCTCATCTCTGGTGCCTCCAGCTCTGTTGCTCTTACTTCTCTTCGCTTCAGCCTCTGAGCTGCCCTTTCTTTTCCTGCCACCAGCCAGGTCAAGGAATTGCCTGGGTACGAACATTTGCCTTGTGAAAGTGGGAGGGCTTGTGTTCTTTTGCTTTTATTTCTGTTTTCCCCCCTCCACATATAAACACGTATTTTTGGTCACTATGAGCTCTGACAGATAACAGAGTGACAGAGTGTATTTCAGAAGGGGAGATGTTATTTTATGTATTTGCTTGAGATGCAGACTTACTGTGTTGCCCAGGCTGACCTGGAAGGGTTGGGCTCATACAATCCTCCTGCCTCAGCCTCCAGAGAAGGAATTCTTACCCATTGCTAAGCCAAACAACAAAAAGAGCCTCCATCCTCAGCTCTTTGGTCTAGGATCAGTCTTCTGACAACTGTGAGCCGCCCCATCCTCTGCTCCCCAGGGCACAGCTGCCCTGCCGCACCCTGCGTGGCGTCCCCCCACGTGACACCCCACTCACACTGGCAGAACTAGACTGGACAGATTGTGGTCTGCCTAGCTCCTGAGCAGGTGCTGTCTGGGAGAGGCCTTGGGCACCCTTCTCCCATGGTGAGGGTGGAGTGAAGACAGCAGGCCTGTGGCTGGTGAGGCACACATGCACCTACCCTTCCACCATGCAGGGCATCCGTGCCCTGCCAGGCTCTGTGCTTAGCCACAGGGCATGCAACAGTCATAAATATGGACCACCCCCCTCTCTCCCACGGGGAGAGAGAAGCCAAGGTGGCTTCTACCTTTGCTCTGACAGAACAGTGCTGCTGCAAAAGCTGAAGCCCTTCCCCAGGACCCCAACCCACCCCCCAGTCCACAGCCTGTGTGGGTGAGCAGTCGAGAGTAAGGGCAGCTTCTCGTGTGTGTGTGCCACTCCCTGCAGTGGGCTCCCTTGGTGGTCTCACAGGTGCATGGGGCCTGCTGGGGTCCTGGCTGTGCTCCATGTGCGCATCTAATGTGACAGTGGGAGTGAGGCACATAGTGTTGGCAGTAGAAATAAAGTGCCCAATGAGTGCAGTGCTCTTGGATGACCAGCCCGCCCTGCCCCAGATGCATGAAAAAGTCCTCCTCTAGGAACCCAGTCCTTGCTGCCACACGTTGGGGATGGCAACTCACACACTTGCGCAGACACTGACATGCATTTTCCGTTTAACCAGCTGTTTCTCTTCTCAGCTGACCTTTGATAACCATCTGGTTTCCAGTAATGTGTTTTCTCCCTTTTAAGAAAGACATT